AGTAAGTTTAACATAAGACTTGTCGAACCTTCTTCAATGAAAGATGTTGTGCTACCTAAAGATGGAAAGGATGGACTCATTATTGAGATGATTTTAATAGCATATTAAATGAGCTTGTTCTTGAAGGTCATTCATGATGAAATAACTGTTGTAGAAGATGTTAGCAATTGTTCAGACATTTTGAAGCGTATAGATGAGATAAGAAAGAAGTTAGATAGACCGCAAAGCGGTGAGGGCGAAGCCCGTGAGAACGCTTATGTTTCATTGACTTTCTCCAGTAACGAGAACTTTTATGAGATAATATTGAAGAGAGATGATTTTAATATGGTGTAAATGGTAGCTTGGGCAGCTTTAGGCGCAATGGGAACAAAAGCATTAGCATTTGGAGCAAAAGCACTTGGAGCTTATGACGCAGTAAATAAAATGAGTGGAGGAAGGGTTTCGAAGACATTAGATGCAAATAAAGGGAAGATTGGAGGCTGGGTTGCAAAGAAGTTAAGATTAAATAAAATAGGGCTCATAAATAAAGCATCCAATTTGGTTGCGACTGAGTCAGAAAATGCTTTAGGAAAGGACGATGAGTTTGCAAAACACGCAAAAGACTTTAATGACCAGATGAAAGGTGAAACAATGCATTTAAATAGATTCGATGGAACTAAAGAAAATGTTTCTTCTCCACCAGTAGTTCTTCCGTATGGTCCCTATGGAATGTATGGAAACCCTTACGAAAGACCATTTGACCCATTGACTGGTGGAAGTAATTGGTATCATTACGGACGAAGAAGAAAGACAGTCAAGTTGGAGACAGACGTGAAGAAAGCAACTAAAAAGAAACCAAGGAAGAAAGTTATAAAGCAATGAATTCAACAGGGTGAAAAAACAGGTGAAAAAAGAGGTTAGATCTAACCATCTACCCTAAATTTATTTTTGGGCTATGTTTTCATACGTGTGAGGGTGGTGATATCATTAATTTTTAAGTTTATTTTTTATTTTACTGAAAATTTTTATTTGGATGTAAATGACAGAACAAAAGCAACTCATTCGAATTCCACAGTATAACAAACATACATTTAAACATTTATTCTTCCTTCCTGAGCATAACATGTTCTTTCAAATACATCCGAGACCAGTTGACTTTTCATTGACTGTGTATAAAGATAGAAATAGTTATATCATTAAACCATACGATGACGAAGGTAAGTTATGTAAATTGTACGTTAAGAAGTTAGAGAAAGTTTATGGCTTCAAGTATGACTACAATAGGGTTAACACTGATGATGAAGATATTGAGGAAAATTTATGAGAACATTAGTGAAGTCGTTAGTGAGAACGATAGTGAGAACGTTTATTTTTTACATTAGTGAGTTCGTTAGTGAAGTGGTTAGTGGTTTTGTAAAGTGTCAAATTCACAAGTATTGGGTAAGGCGGAACGCAGTGCCGCCGTACCCATGACTTGTATACTAACTTATATGACAAGATAGAATATGAGAGAGGTCCTATAAACTGGAGAAAGTATCGCAATAAAGAAATTTTATTAGTAAGTAAATGTGGTTTGAAATAGGACTACTTGTTTTAGGTTTTTTCCATTGTGTCATTTATTTATTTGACGTGGCAGAAAAGTACAGAGAATATGAAGATGAACCAATGCCTGCAAATGTTCAGCATATGTACTCGTAAGAGATATTTTTATCTAATATTAAATGGACGCACAGAACTTAGCGAATGCACAGCAACATGGACAACCAAACCCAGAGAATATTCCAAATGAAGTTAGAATACAAACTGCAATGGCAAACTATGGTCAAGTGCCAACAGATGTACAAATGCAAACTGCCATGTCAAATGACGCTGCGTTAGGTTTGCCACCATGGTATGCAAATATGAGATGGAAAGAGTTTTATACAAACCCTGAAGTGGGATATAAACAACTTTATGCAGATGACGCGAACACAGGAGTTGACCCAGAATATGTTTTCTACCAGAGGAGAAACAGAATGTATGAGCTCCAGTTAAAGAATGCTATGGAACTCAACAGGAAACGTAAGAGACTAGGCGGACATTAGATTTTTACATATAGTAAAATGGGTTTCTTCAGTAAGATAGGAAACTTCTTTCGAAATGTTGGAAGAGGTATATGGAATGGAATAAAATCTGTCGGAAGAGGAGTATGGAACGGTGTCAAAAATATTGGTAAAAGAGTAGGTCAGTTTGTTGGTATTATACCTAAAGACCCTGAACCAGAAGAACAAGCTCCTGTAATACAACAGCCTGAACCTGCACCACGGTCAAGTTGGCAACCACAACCGGTATATTAAAAAATTATATTTTTATCGTTCGATAGTAGTTGTATATGAAACTAAGTTCTAAGTAAAACGCATGGTATAATGGAATTATTCTTTTTCTTCCATCTGTAGTAAACCATACTTGAAAGTCTGAAATACTTCCACTCGGCGGTTCATATAACTTTGTAGGTTTTTCGTAAAAGTCATTCATCAGACATAAGAAAGAGTTTTGCGCACCAGAAAATGAAGCATGAACAATAATAGCATCTGGGTCGAAAATATTTTCATATGTTCCATTAGGGTTTTCGACTTCATAATAGTCCGGGTGTACTGGATATGCTGCAGGCTGATTTAACATCCTCATAAATCTATACCATGCCAAGTTGTTATATTTTGTAGAAATATAAACGTTTTCTCCAAGGTCTTCTATTTTATTGATTTTAACAGTTGCATTTTTCCTGTCATAAATAATATCGAGATGGTATTCTCCTTCGTCAATGTTAAACTGGTTTGCATATTCAATATAGATATCGTTTATTTTTTCTTGAAAAGCTTGAAGAGTTGTTTCTAAGTTTATAAGCAAGTTAACTTGTAAAAGTTTTCCTTGTTCAAATTTCTCATACATACGTTTTTCTTTGTTATAGTATCGAACTTCAAAACCGACCGTAAATGGGAAACCATGTATGACTTCTGAAATGAACTTCATTCTACGAAAGCCAATAGCTTTGTGGCGGATGGGTCTCTTAACCATCTTAATGGGTAGTCAAAACGATAGCCTTCATGCTTTACGGTATCTGTCTCAAACTTTTGACCGACATTAGTAAAAAGTTCATCTAATGGTTTAGTTGTAGCAACTCTAGAATTTTCTTTTTCTATTGGAAGCATATTTTATCTATAATAAAAATGTCAAATGAAACAGCGTCTATGAGAGAAATACAACACAACCGACAACTCATTATGCAAGCTCTAAATAAGAACACAACAAACTTTTCAAACTATTCTAAGATATCTGAGTCATTGAAAGGGGGTGACTTAAAACTGACAATAAACCCAATGACAGATGAGTTTCTATTTCAAGACAATAAGAACAATACTGTCTGTATAAATCCAACAAAAGGAACTTTAAACGAGAAACCTATAAATGAACTTCTTTTGAAGGCAGATGTTGACAACAAAGCTGACAAAGAATATGTAGACGATGCAATAGCAAAAGAAGAAGAAAGAGCTAACAATGCTTATGCAACAAAAGAACATACTCATCCTGAACTAGCAGACAAAACATATGTTGACAATAAAATGTCAAGTGAAGTGACAAGAGCTGAAAACGAATATTCTAAAAAGACTCATATACATTATATTAACCAAATACCAAGTCTTAAGGAAACATTAGAGACAAAAGCAGATAAGACTCTTACACATTCTATATCTGATATTACAAATTTACAAGAAACCTTAAACAGGAAAAGTGCCGTTGGACATACACATTCTATATCTGATATTACAAATTTACAAGAAACCTTAAACAGGAAAAGTGACGTTGGACATACACATACCATTGCAAATATTACAAACTTACAAGAAACCTTAAACAGGAAAAGTGACGTTGGACATACACATACACCTTCTGAAATAACAGACTTAAACGTTAGCCTTGAAAATAAAGCAGATAAAACATATGTCAATGAAATATACCAAAGTTTGATAGGAACAAAAAATATTGAAACTATTGTTGGTGACTTTTCTGTCAATGAAGAAAATAAATATTTTAGATGGCAGTTGGTACAGTCCTTAAAAAATGGTACACGGCATAAACTCATTCCGAAAAATAACAATGAAATGTATGTAAGCTATAAAAAGAATGATGGTACACAAGTTAAAGTTCCATTAGACAACAACTGCTACTTAAACTTATATGGAGACGAACAAAAGAAATATTTAAGAGTTTATGAAATGGCAGATATGACATTGCCTGACCCAGCTCCAGCACCACATTATTATGACTATGGAGATGACGACAGAACACCACATGTAGATGAACAAAAGCTAACATTATATTTAGATTATTATAGATATAAAAGATATAATGCAATAGAAAAAACGAGAATAGTATATTATTATACAGATGACAGAAAAAATATTATAGTCAAGATTTTACCTACCCTGAAAACATAAGATTATATTATAAAAATATTCTGACACAAACCAGAAGAAACCTGAAATAGTTGCACTATATTTTAAGTTCAAAAGAGACAATCCTATAATATCTCATATGTTTGATTTAATGAACCCAGTAGGTTCTATTTATACATCTATGGATGCAAGAGGTCCTCAAGTAATGTTTGGTGTTGGTGCATGGGAACAAATAGTCGACAGGTTTTTGTATTGTGCAAACTCTTCAAAGGAAACAGGTGGAAGTAAAACGATTTCAGGTGAAAATTTACCTGCACACAGTCATTACATAGATTTAAGTACATCTCAAGCAGGTTGGCATAGTCATAGATATTGGGATTGGTCAGGAATGACAAAAGGTAAAGGATATGATGTTAAAGACGACGTTAAGTTTGCTATAAATTGTTACTGGAGTGACACTCAGGGAGAAGGAAACCATACACATTTCGTTTCAGGATATACGCAAACAACGGGACAAAGTAAAGAATACATGCCACCTTACATGACAGTTTACGCATGGTATAGAATTGCTTAGTCGTCATTTTCAACTTCTTTAGCATATTCGTCAGGAGTTGTCTTATATTTGTTAGAAACTGTCTTTGAAAGTATACCACCTTGAACTTTGACAAGTTTGAAACGAGGTCTGACAATAGTAGTTTTATCTTCTGCTTGCAGTCTGTACATTTTGCCATGTTTGCCTAAAACTTCATAATATTCTCTTGTATACTTTCTTCTATTTTTACGAACACGAATGTGAGTACCTGTCGGGTTCCCATTGTTGTCATAGTCAATAGTATTTTCATATGGGTCGCGTTTAGGTATTTCTATTTTTACTTTGTCACCTTTCTGAAGTTTGAAGCCCGGCATTCTTTCTTGTTTGTCTCTTTTGACTAAATTATTAAATATATAGTCTTTCTCTAAGTCAGGGTTGTTTTTCATTTCTTCGGGGGAGTGGTTTCCCAAACCTTTTTGTTTACGGTTATTGTAAATATTTAAAACTTGTCTCATCTTTGCCATGGAGAAGTGTCTATATTTGTCGTCATATGACATTTCATTTGCTTCACCACCATGTGGTTGGTTTAAGTCTCTTAACATTTTTATACAACCGTCAATGACACCAAGAGCAGAATGGTTTTGATCGACAATGAAATATTGGTTTACATTTTTTGAACGCAGATAGTTTTTAATATCATCTGATTTGAAAGAACTTTCACAGTCAGATGTCAGTTTTGTTGGATGGTATTTGTCAACGAATATTGTCAAAGCTGCTAAGAAAACAAACCAATCTAAAAATTTTTACTGAGATGAAATGACCGAAGAAGTTGAAACGGTAGATTTGACACCACAAACAAAAAGTTCAGAACCATTGTCAAAACCTGTCAAAGAACTTACAGATGAAGAGAAAAATTCAATAATAGAAAGTGCCAGGTCTGGAAATACAAACCCTAACTATAAAGTCACTTTTCACAGAAATGGAACGGCTAGTATCTCAAAAAAGAAACAGACTCTCACAAATAAAATATTGAAGTCTGAAGGAGCTTTCGAGACAACAGATGGAAAAGTTTACTTCACTGACCAACAGTTCATTATAGAACATCTCATTGACTTAGAGTCGAAATATTCTAAACTTTACAACAAACACAAAAAGTTGAAAGGAAAACAAAAACAAATGGCATATGATATTTATGAAGATGTTGACGACACAACTGTTCCTGCAAGTGAAGTAAAGTCAGAGGAACCGAAAAGTGACGAAAAACCGATAGAAGAAGAAAAACCAAAAACTGAAGATAAACCAAAACCAAAGTTTAGTTTCCAAACTAAACCAAGTCAACCTTCATTAGCTGGTATGGGTTGGCGTCAAAGACTTATGGCAGCAGGCGGTTATGTAAAGTAAAGAAAAATATTTTTTTATTTTTATAAAAATGCCCCCATATAGAATGGATAGAAAGTCTGCTAGAATAAAAGCAGAGTTACAAAGATATGGGTGGAGAGTTTCGAAGAATTTTAAATATGGGAAGGGAAGACCCATAAAAGTCTATGACAAATTGTCTGGTCTTCGCTACAAAATGGATTTGGAAACAGCACGTGCCAATTATCCAAACAGACTAGAGAGGTTAGAAGAAGAACGTCTTATGGACATGCCTTTCGATGTTAGTGAACCTCAAGTTGAAGGGCACGACGGCTTTGCCAGATTCTACTGGAAACATGACGAACAATTGCATCCTTTGAGAAGGAAAAAAGGAAAAGGTGAAGACGCACATGCTCCCATGGAAAGAACAAGATATGCATATGAAAAGTATCGTGAAGTTAGAAGTCAAATTACATCTGGTCGAACCTTTACAGTAAACTTTGACGAAGGAAAGAACAAAGAAGGCTTCATGGGAGTACTTGCTGCAATTCAAGACGGAAATAAGAAAGGACACAATCTCAGATTGACCATAACAGATTTGGATGGTCACATTTACTATGCACATGGCAATGAACAAACAGCCGCAAAACTTCTTGACGCATTCAAGACTACAAAGAGAGAACAAATGGTTGACTCCGACTCAGACATTTTGAATGCAATTGAAGGAATTGCAAGTGTCAAGTTCGAATGGTACCAACCTAACCCTCAAGCAGTCAGACAACATGCTGGATACTTCCCGTTCATAAATAAGTCTGACATTGACTTGACAAGGTATGGAATTTACAATTCAATTGAAACAATTGTCAATGAACCTTGTATTCTTACATGTCTCAGGAACTCTGGTCTTGTTACAGATGAGAAGATGAAGTATCTTGAGTCATGTGTGAAGACAAGGTACATTCTCAGAGGTCAATTGGCAAAAATTGCACCGTTGGCAAATGTCAATATCCGAGTCAACATACCTACAGCTAAAGGTTCTTCACATGACGACTATGTTGTTGACAAAGACTTACCATGGTTGAAGATTGTAATTGTCCACAACCACTTCATGTTGAACGAAAGTCTTACAAACCCATTCTTTGGTAAAAGTAAGTGCAACATTGTCAGAGCTGTAAACATTCTTTTCGGCTTGTTTTGTTGTCTAAGTAAGTGTTATAAGGATATGCTCTACCATTGTTTGTATAAGAGAGAAGTTTTTAAATATCTAACTCGTGCAAAGTGAACCTTTGAATGTTCTCGATAATTAGTAATTCCAGATAGTGATTGAAGTGAAAAGACACCTTCAGATTTCTCAATAACAATATAATTATATGTTATATTTTAGAATTAACGTATAAATGACATCCAATGGAGTCTATTCTTCAATACATTTTAAACTTTAAAACTCATCGTACAACTAGATAAACTTAAACACATAGTCAATATATGCATTATATCTATACCATTTTGGCTCAAGAAATTTTTCTGTTTATAAACTATCTTTCATGTTCGGTTAAGTAAGTCGTTTATCTATACACTTGAAGATGTAAAAAATGAAATTATAAATACTAATATGATGCAACATTTGTCTTCACATACTTATCAATTTAATATTACTTTCTGGTTACTGCAGATACATAAGCTATAAGACTAGAGATCCACGTTAGTTCATTTTCATAGAAGTAATACATGAGTTATACTCTTTTGACATTTCAACTTAATCCAAACAGCAATTACATCTTCATATTTAAAGGTATAATCAATTATAAAACAAGACTGCTAAAGATTGTGAAGTATATTATATTAATCCAAAACGTTTATGCTTGCGAATCTACACTGAACGATAGATACATCGAGGTATCTGACATACTGACAACACTTGATTCTCTTTATACACAATCAGACCTTCTTGTCTATAAAGATACAAAACATATGAATACAAGTATGAAGCGATTTATTTAAAGAACTGCATATACTATGATTGGCAAGTAGAGAAGAGCATATAGAATATGAAAAGAAGAAACCTAAATGCAACTATAGATAATGTTCCATCATAATAAAAATAATAAAATATTTAAAAATTAATTATTAAGAAAAATAACTTTAAAAAAAATTAATCTAATTTTTTAAAATATTTTTTTATGTTCCTAACTAAAGAATTGGTAATCGAAGTTGGTCTAAGTTAGAAACTCGGAAATAAAAACAACTTTTAAGAAGCTAACATAGAAGTAGCCAAAACATACGAACAACAACTAAAGCATCTCGCTGACTTCATGTTAATGAATATAATGGTGCAATATAGTTTATGATTAGAATTTCAATTGAGTTCATAAAGCCGCAACGCGGCGAGGACGAAGTCCATGCAAGAGCATTTCCTTTAAATGACGTTGCTATTGACTTATATCATAGACGTTCAGTACCTCATGAAGTAAGAAGAGAAATGTTTGACATAACAAATGCAAACGTTGGTGAAACAAGAAGAAGAGACGACACACTGAAACAACAGAGAAGAGAGATGTTTAAAAGTGCTATAGAACAAGTTCGCAAAGCTAACGATGTCATTCGTTCCATTGACGACAAACCAAAAGAAGGTGAGAGATGGTTAAAGAAAGATGAAGAGAATAGGAAGAGAAATGTGAAGTCAGGCAATAGACTCATTGACTTTAACATCGAAGCTTTAGATGAACCAAACAGAGACTACTTACACAAACATTTCGGTAAGGTTTTCATGAGACTCTTAGAGAAGATTAAAATAAACTCACAACAAAGATGGATGGTATGTTATAAACTTGGTGGAAAGTATGAATGTTCTACGTTAAACCTCAATAATATTGGAACATTACTACATCAGCTCTTGAAGGAGAACTTTATATCAGAGATAGAAGCAAATGCTGCAGGTATTGTTGAAATGCACTATGACTTCTTCTTGACAAACATAAAGAATCTTACTGAAATAAAGATGTATGATTTAACAGAATATGAAGGCTTAACGATGTCAGATGTAAAGAAAGGCAAACCAAAAAAGAGACCATATAGAGATGAAAGCACACTGACAAATGACCAGAAAGCCATTTTGGAAGCTCTTAAGCAAACAGGAAACCCAGCACTTATAGAAAGCTTTTGGAAAGATAATGGTGAAAAGAAGTTTTATAAGAAGAGAAGCGGTCAGTTCTGGAAGTATCTTTGCACATTACCTATAAATCTTGAACGCTACCAAATCTTCAATGAATGAACAAAAGAACTGCAACACTTATGACAGAAGACAATTGTTTCGTTTATGCTTGCATTCAGGCTGGAGTAAATGAAGAAACTATTGACCACATGAGAGAAGTCATTCGTGTTAGAGACTTTCCTCAAAGTAAAGTACAAGAAATTTCTGACGCAACAGGTATAGCATTTAATGTTACCATTGGTTATTCAATGACTCAAGACATAATGAAATAAAGAGATACATACCAAAAGAATGTGAAACTGTTCGAACTATTGACTTACTTCTTGTTGAAGACCACTACATGCTAAATGAAAGATTACCAATGACAACATATTTCATTCGCAACTATATAGAAATCTTGAAGGAGTGTGGTGGAATGAACATTGAGAAACAGATGAAGATTTATACAAAGAGAGAGAAAAATATATTAGTTCGTTATGATAGAACAACACCGTTATGGGATGTTATGAAAACATTGTGGGAGTGCAAATATTTCGAACCTATTTCTTATGGAGAACTTTTCACATATACGACTGACTTATATAAACAGAACCTTGCACCATTTAAAGATTTGACATATGCTCCAAAGTATTGTGTACAACTGAAGAAGAAAGCCGAGTCAAAAGAAGTAAATAAAAATAAGTGCAAGTTCATTCCTGAGCACGTTTTCTTTGCTGACTTTGAGTGCAGTACCGATGGCTTTCATAAAGCTTTTAACATCTGTTACGACAGTGAAGATGGTTCAGTGAGTGAAAGCATTTGGGGTCAGAACTGTGCAACAGAATTTTTGGAACGACTTCCTGACAAGAGTTTAATATATTTCCATAACCTCAGTTATGATATAAACTTCATCTTAAGACACATGACAGAAGTGAAAGGAACTCCCATCATTAAAGGTTCACGAACAATGCAAATAACTGGCTTATATAAAGGAAGGGCAATTATTATAAAAGACTCTTACAGTGTTATAAATAAGAAGCTTAAACTATTTCCTGCTATGTTTAACTTACAAACAGGACCGAAAGAAGTATTTCCATACAACTACTACAGCAGTGTTTTGTTAGCAAATGACAACAGAACTGGTGTCATTTCTGAAGCATGTAAGTTTATCCGGGATGCAGATACATTCATGAAAAACATAGATTCCATCAAAGGTTGCAGAATAGATGAGAACCACTTCGACTTAGAAAAGTATAGCACATTTTATTGCAAACAAGATGTAAGAATTTTAAGAGAAGGTTTTGTTAAGTTCCGCAATGACATATTGAAAGAATTTGATTTAAACGTTTATGACTACGTTAGTATTTGTTCAATTGCTAACAAATTATTTGAGAACAGAGTGTACTTCCCGAATGGAAATTTATATGACCTCTCAAATAAACCAAGAGAATTTATTTCACGCTGTATTCAAGGTGGAAGATGTATGTGTCAGATAACATTAAACAAAAGAGCGAAAAGAAACTCATTGCTGATTTCGACGCTGTTTCATTATATCCATCAGCTATAGCAAGACTTTATACTTTAGAAGGTATTCCAAAGGTTATGAAGAAAGAAATGTTAAGCACAGAGTATCTCATGAGACATTTATTCGATGACGACCAAAAGGAACCCATTGGTGAAAAGTTTATGTCTGGCTTCTTTGTTCTCATTAAGATAACAGAGATTGGAATACATAGACACTTTCCTTTAATAGTTTGTGACCCTGAACTAAATCCAGAACTTAACGTTCCCAGAAGTTCAAACACTTGCTGTTTAATGTATGTTGACCATATAACATTACAAGACCTCATAAAATATCAAGGTGTCAAATGTGAAGTGTTGCAAGGATACTATTACGATGGAAACAGAGATATTAGAATAAGAGATGAAGTAAAGAAGTTGTTTGAGTTAAGGTTAAAGTATAAGAAAGAAGGAAATCCTTTGCAAGAAAATATAAAGCTCATTCTGAACAGTATTTATGGCAAAACTATTCTATCTCCTATTGAGTCAAAAATAACCATAGTAAATGACAAAGATGCTATAAGATATGCCATCAGAAACTACAACCATATAGTGAAGTTCGAAGGTTTGGATGGTTCAGATAAAACTATTTTCAAGCTAACGAAAAGCATTTGCAGACACTTTAACTTCTGTCCACTTGGTGTTAACATTCTGTCTATGTCGAAGAGAATAATGTGTGAAGTATTCTGTACTGCTGAGGACTTAGGAATGGACATCTTTTATAGCGATACGGACAGTATGCATCTCTACAATGAAGATATCCCTCGTTTAGCTGAAGAGTTTGAGAAACGTTATGGAAGAGTTCTCATTGGTAAAAACCTTGGTCAATTTCATAGCGACTTTGCAGAAATCACACCTGGAAAACAAAGTTTAGCATACAAGTCAATATTTTGTGGAAAGAAGACTTACATAGACTTACTCACGAATGATTTAAATGAAGTTGCATTTCACTGCAGAATGAAAGGCGTGAAGCAAGATGTTATTGCTTTAACCGCTAATGAAATGTTTCCTGACTCTGTTCAGTGTTTCTATGATGAAGATAAAGGTTTAATGGTTCCGCAAGGAACATATGACAAAGACTCTGAGTTCAGTTTAATGAAACTTATATAAAGCACTTTATGACGGTCAAGAGATTGGATTTGACTTATGTAAGTCATGTCAACCTTGCTTTGAAGAGAAGTTTAACTTCTCAATAACGACTAAAACAAGCTTTATTCGTAAGTTGAAGTTCTGAGGTCATTTATTTTTGTCAGCAATGAGGTCATTCGTGATAAAAATAAGCTCATGTGGTCATTTACAATACTGCGATGGTAGAGTTTAAGAGTTGTGCTTCAATGTAGAGACAGTCCTTATGGTC